GAACCACTCTGGTTGCTCTGCTAAGAATTTGGGGTAGGGAATAGGCAAGAGCAAAGGGAAAGGGGCCAGTAAGGAGACTAGGTGCTGTAGTGCTCTAGAGGAGAGAACAGTTCTGGAACTCTGGGTGGAAATGGTAGAGGTGGTGAAAAGGGGTCAGATTCTGGATGTGTTTTAAAGGTCACATTGGTAGGATTTACTCTTGAATTAGAGTTTATAATACCGAGTGATCTCTCACAGAAACAAAGAACTAAGTATCACATGTTCTCACTCATAAGAGGACCTTGAACAACTACTGTCTTACTGTAGGAAAGGGATTAAAAGTAGCGGGAAACTGCGGGGTGCCGGGTGGGGGTTGGGGAGTGGGGAGCTGGGATTGACAGTAGTTGATATCTGCCCGGGGAAGGGGGGCATACCTCATCAATAAGAGTAACTGCACAATGAATATTTGTATACCTAACACTGAATTGTACCCCATAATTTCAAATAAAAATTAAAAGAGAGAGAGAAAAAAAAGGAAGTGGTGTGTGTGTAAGAGAAAGAGGTGTCAAGGATAAATCCTAGGTTTATTTTTTTTTCAGAATCATTTGGAAGAAAAATGCAAGGTGTTGGGGTTTGTTTTTGGTGGGGGTACAGGAGATGGACAGTTCAATTTTGCATGTATTAAATTGGTAATTCCTATAAGACATTCAAAGGGATTCCAACAGGCAATGAAATAGAAGCAGCCAGAGACCAATGTGCAGAAGGGCACTAAAAACAGGTGTTGGTCATCCCGCAGTTTTAAACAATTTAAGGTCCAGCTGCTAGGGCTTCACAGTTTATGAAGTGCGTTGCCTTTCAACGTGTGGCTCCTGGACCAGCAGCACAGTATGGTTTGAAAACTTGTTAGAAATGCTCAGTCTCTGGCCTTCCTCATACCTGAGCCAGAATCCACATTTTAACAAGATCCCCAGGTGGTTACTGTATAACTAAAGTTTGAGATGTACTCATCTAATTAGCATTATCTGGGAAACTTTTAAAAAAAATACTGGTCCCTTGCTAGAACAATTAAAGTAGTATCTCTAGGCCTGCGACTCAGGCATGGGTAGGTGTATTGAATGCATTTTTGACTTATGGCATTTTCAATTTACAGTGGGTTTTTTGGGACGTAACTTCATTGTAAGTCCAGGAGCATCTGCATCCTGGTTTAGATGGCAACTCATATGTTCCCCCTATGTAAAACAAAATGGATCTATACTTTGTTTCTGGATCATGAGGTCATATTAAGAACAGGCAGAACAAAACGACAGCCTTTGGTTTGACAAATTAATCAAACATAGAAGGACTTCCAGTGCTTAGATATTTGTTGTTAAAATCTTTTAGGTACATGTGACAGACATAAATTCCTCAGCTTCCAGGAAGGCTGGGGAAATCAGGCTCTTCCCAAGGACTGGGGTGGGATGGGGTATGTTTATGTTCAGCAATGAAAGAACCAAAGCCAAGGGTTGATTAGCCACAAGCTGATATCAGTTTGAGATTATCCTCAACCTTAACAAAATCTCTCCTTCCTTTTCCTTTTGGATCTTCTATTGTTCATTAGCTACTCCACCCACGGGTTCCAAGGGACAAGGGAAGAAGGTCAGTACAGAGCTAATTTAGCAGCCCTGCTAACAAATTGGTTGGAAAGAAGATGGAAATGATTGTACTGTTTCTATTTACCTGTGAATTTAAATTATTTTGGCTCATCTCTTTTTCAAAATTATTACCAGCTGGCTTGAGGACTCATTGAAGACCTACTGATTGGCAGTAAAATTAAAGTAAACTTGTATATTTGAAATGATGTAGTCTTTCAGCAATAGGTCTTTGGAAGCTTTTCTTCCTGATTTACCAGAATCCCATGCGTGGGGGCAGGGCAAGCACCTTCTCATCTCCTCAGGGCCTTCCCCTTGTCTTTCCTCCCCTTACCACCAATTCATAGGCGCATGTGGATAGAATTTTTAAGAAATATTTTTTGATGTAGGTAAGAAATTATTTGACATGAACTTAAAACCAATAGCATAATCACTGTTATACAAAAGGATGCAAATAGAAAATCTACATGTGGGAGTTGAGATCCATGTGCATAGAGATGATATCACAAGTTTTCTTAATTGCATCGATAGATTAGTTACAAATATCTCTGCAAGGCAAGCAATGTAAATGTCTAAAACACGCTCCGTTCACATGTGTTCAGAACGTCTGGAAGGGAAACCATTCATGTATAAAGTAGCCAGATGCTAACTAGTCATTTGAAGGGAATGCTCTGTCCTCTTGCAAAATAACTTGAATGTAGATGGCTATTGAGTTAGGGTAGGTAAAACATTAAAAGCTACCTGTTGAATTGAAGTAAGACTATCAATGGAATCTGCAGGTTAGAGAAAGTGGTAGGGTTCTTTCTGTAGCTGAGAAAACAACACAAGCTGGTCTTCCCCAGTCAGGCCCTGGATCAGTAATACCACTAGCTGCTTGAGGATCTTAGATCTTCCTTATCAGTTAATCAAAGGCTTTTTTTTCCACAGCTCTTAGGTGACAGAAGCAGGTGATCCTAGAACACAACCCTATAAGGAACCCCCAAAACATTCCAACTTAAAGGCTTAGGTAGACTTGAAGAGTAATTAAGACTGGTAGGTGGCTCAGCCTATAATCCTGCGCCTTGGGAGGCTGAGGTGAGTGGATTGCCTGAACCCACAGGTTCAAGACCCGCCTGGGCAACCTGGTGAAACCTCATCTCTACAATAAATCAAAAAATTAGCTGGGCGTGGTAGTGCGCGCCTGTAATTCCAGCTACTTGGAAGGCTGAGGCGGAAGGATCGCCGGAGCCCCAGCAGGTCGAGGTTGCAGTGGCCGGGAGTGGCCACTGCACTCCAGTCTGGGTGACAGAGTGAGACTCCAACTCAAAAAAAAAAAAAAAAAAAAAAAAAATGACTGGTAGGCCTGTTGATAGAATCTTCTTCCTTTTCCCTAGGTGTTTAGATTTCTCTTAAAATCTTACTCTATATTAAATCTTAACTTAAATGCATTACATGATAGGGCTTAAGTTGGTAAGTCAATGATGTATGGCATTTGAATAAGCAGTTCCATTTTAATGCAAAGCTTTTAGCTAGATCTTGTGCTGAGGCTCACCTAGCTGGGTCTGGGAAAATTCTTGCTTTTCGCTAGAAGGGGGAGGAATATCAGCAATTAGAAAAGCAATATCAATGAAGGGAGTCACCAGCCCTTCACATTGGCAAATTCTTTATACCAACAGAATGAAAAATGTGCAGGAATGGAGATCAAAACAAGCATTATTTATGTTTTTGTTACCCACAAAACCTTCTAAGCGCAGGCCTATAGAGGTTTTCAGCTTCAAAGGAAGCTTAGAAAAAAAGCACCACTTTGCTTTGGTGAACTACCTCAGGGAAAGATTCATGTGTGTAAGATAGTTTTCACATTTGTCCAATGGCCTGGGCTCAGTCCAGTGTGCAAGGTAAATAAAAATAAGCAAATATCATTAAGTACTTACCCTGTGCAAATAGGGAAAAGAATGTTGAGAAAAAATAGCCTCGAGTTAGAGTGAGTCACAGTTGGTGAGGCCAGAAATATCATTCCTCAGGTTGTACGTAGCTCTGGACTTTCAGGCCCTTGCTTGAATCTCCCTCCCCAACTTGAGATGTAGAAGAGAGTTTTATTCGGAAAGAGAGGGTAAGCCTCCAATTCTTGCATGATTTGGTACTATCTTGGGCAAAATGTACTCACTAACAAATTATTTTGGCAGAGCATGGTCCATCTCCTGCATGGAAAGGCTATGACCCTGAGAGGAAGAGCCAAGAGCTTTATGCTGGCCATGTGCTTTGCCCACTCACACTCCTGGTAACCTTGAGAACAGCTCTCAGTGCCCCCAAACCTCTATTTCCTCATCTAGGATGATTTTACTCCAGACAGATCATCTGGTTATAGGGTCAGGTGTAAGGAACTATGGCTCCATTATTACCAAGTTCTTTGAGACTCTCCAAAGAAAGGCACCATGAAGAAAATACATGAAAAAGGTACTATGAAAAATGACAAAGAAATAAACTGCTTCCTAGCATCGTATTCCATCAGGACAAATTATAGCTGGAAATTCCAAGCAACTCTAAAATGAGTGCAGTATTTCTCTGTTTCTCTACTTTTCCACAAAAGAAATACAGTCGATGGAACCAATATTTTTGATCTCAAAAAATCATGTTATCAAGGAACCTGCTTCAAAACCCAGATTGGAGTGACAACCAAGGAGACAGGAGCAGCTAGCAGTGTAGCTTGAAGTACCCAACAGTAGAGTGGGTCCTTTCTGGTATTAATTAATGTTGCCTGGAGCTTTAATGAATGTGGGAGTGTGGGAAGGCTTACGGTTGCGCTATTTATGATTTTTTCTGAGTTCTTAATTAGCTCTATTGTTGAAAGCTTGAGGGGACTTTGCCAAACACAGGCTGGCCTAGCCTTGTTGATGTCCTCTCTCAACAGGCCATTGATAGCTCCCCACCCCACAGTGTTCTGTACAGCAATCTCAGAGAAAAGCCCAGAGAAGCATTTGTATTTGGCACCTTAAGGTCATGGTCCAACCCAGAGTTATCCAAATACTTGGAGATTCAAAATTTATAAGAGCAAAGTCAAGGCTCTAAGCAGTTTAACCAGCTTGACTCTAACTCAATATTTCTTTATCTATAAAAGATGCCTTTTTTTAAAACATCAGTCAAATTAAACTACTGAATAGCCAAGAGAAGAAAATTGCTTGGGAAATACTGTTCTAAGCTTATTATAAATGCTGGAGAGCAATCTTTCTGTTTCAAACACAGTAATGAATGAATTAAACTTGCCTGAAGTGGCACTAGGCTTGCCCAACAGCTGAAGCTATCAATATGCTTTTTCAGAAGGTAAAATCACTCCCATTAAAGATGCACAGGAACTCTCTAAATATGCCAAGAGCCATGAGACATACAGTGCTGAGAGCATGGCTCTGCTTTTTGTACCTGTGGCTCCTGGTCATGGCCGCTGGGATCCCTCTCGTAGCTCTCTGCGTACAGTCTGATGGTGGCCCGCACACCACTGGAGGAACTGAGCCGGAAGATGAGCCGGGACGCATCCGAGAAAATGATCCTCAGGCCCTGAGACCAAGAACATCCAGAACAGATCAGTGAACAGATGAATACACAGGTAACGATAATTAATATCCACTACAGAAATCTGCATGTTTCTATGATCTAATCACAAGCAGAATCATGATAATTTCTTTTTTTTTTGGAGATGACTCCTTTGCTTTATTCATTTATTTTTCATAATCAATATTTTTTTATTATGGTTTTGTAGGGTACAGTTAAGGGTTAGGTGTACAATTACATTTCATTCAGGCACTCTGTTGATAAGAGGTGTTTCCCCATCCCCAGACAGATATTTGCTACTGTTAATCCCATCTCCCTCCTCCCCCGCATAGTTTCCCAGTACCGTTAGTCATTTTCTTATAGTATTACATTGAATGTTCAAGGTCCATTATATGAGTGAGAACATGTGATACTTGGATCTTTATTTCTGTGAGAGGTCACTCAGTATTGTAGACTCTAGTTCCATTCAGGTTGCTGCGAAATTCATGATTTTGTTCTTTTTTATGGCTACGTAGTATTCCACATGATAATTTCTATTGGCTCTGGATAGAGGGCAGTGTGATGAACCTGGTTATGGTTACCCATGTGTCTCTTTATTTGACTTCTGATGCTTTGTGGTTAATGTTGGGGAAGAATTAGGAACAAAACTATGAACAGATTCTCAATTTCTCTTGGTCCCATGATGAAGGAATCAGAAGTAAGTGGAGGTAACAAGGATGAAATAATATTTAACAAATATCTCCGGGGTCAAAGTTTTTCTCTTGTAAACCTGCTGGACATAATGAGGGTAGGACATTCATCTATTATAGTAACACAAATTGCCCGTGTTAAGGTTAGACCTTACACATTCCTTTGGTAGCATTGGAACCCTGTGACGAAGTGCTCAGGGCTGGGGCCTCAGCTGGGCTCTGGGAGTTGCTGAGTACATTCCCACTTCACCCTCCTGGCTCTCTCTTTTTACCTGTAAGACCTGACCACCATGATGGGAATGTAGGCAGAACTGTGGCCACACCTACTAGAACTGCCTAGTATTAATTCCTTTTTGGCGCAGAACATCGCCATTCTCTATCTTTTCTCAGCAGTGGCAGAGATATTTTAAAATTATCACCATAATAGGATCATACTGTGACTTCTGTTGAAGGAAATGTGCTCTCCTGACAACGGATAAAGTCATTGTTGGAAATAAGCATATTGGCAGGGACCAGGGGAAGGAAGAGGAGGGAACAAAATAATGTGTCTGGTGACTTGTAAATTCTGAAAAAGTAGATGTCTCAGGCAATGTTGACACCATTTTTTCCTAAGCAATTTATCCTTGAAACTTCTCTGGTCTCAAATCTTGCTTGTTAACAATAAGTCATTATCAAATATATATAGCTATATACCTACTGCATACATCTGCCTGCAATTCTTTATCTCCACCCCCATCAGGTGATATCTGCTGGAGGGCACTATAGTTGCATCTGAGTGACTTTTGACTGTTTAAGTTTTATTTATTTATTTATTTATTATTATGAAGTTGTGGGGTACAGTTAAGGGTTAGGTATACAATTGCGTTTCATTCAGGCACCCTGTTGATATGGGGTGTTTCCCCGTTCCCAGACAGATATTTGCTACTGTTAATCCCATCTCCCTCCCCTCCCCATAGT